CCAAAACCCTGTTCTAATGATGAAGGCCCCTACATGGTGTTTGGGGTGTACGGTGCCGGCGGGTGTGTACTTGCGTTGGGTATAGGCTGCTTGTTGACGATGTGGGATGTCATCCTCATGTGTGTGCGGTTATGTAACGGTTCTGGAGTTCTGGAAGTGGACTCTTGTAGCATGAATTTTTTGAGAACACGGGAGACATGGAAGAGCCTCAAAGAAGGCCTTGTGCCAAGTTCTTGTGGGGAGCATGTTGCAGCATGGTGCGTCTGAAAACCTTCCAGAACCGATCCTCGAGGTTAACGGAAACTTTGACAGAGAGCTGTGCTTCGATTTTCTTGCATTCGACTTTCGGGTTGTAATTACTTTCATAAAACCCAACCAACAGTCAACTCGGATGTCGCCTCCTGAGCAGTCGTTGCAGGAAAACGGCCGCTGGCTTATGGAGCCTTGCTTTTGCACGATGAGCGTGGCTGAGCAGGGTTTCCAAAGCAACCTACATCTGGTTACTACTAGTTACTAAGTGCCCGTGGTGTTTGCGATGTAGTATAATCCCTATACAGTTATATAGTACGAAAAGTTTGTTAGCGGATAAATACATGATGCCTAGGAAACTGGAGCACGAAGCCCCGTCATGTGACGGCGTTCCTACCTTGCTTTCCTTACCACTCGCTCGGCAATAGCAGCCCAGAGCTTCTGCGGTTCGGATGGACGGTGGCATCGGAGGGTGGCTAGATCAAATGAGGGGCGAGATTAGGGCTCCCCTTTAGTTTCCTTGTCACTCTCGTACGGTTTTTGCTTCAAGTAGGTACGATACCTGTAAGGGGGTTACAACTCAAAACAGCCTAGAAGGCATATCTTCAGTGCCCGTCTCCAAGGACGGTACCCACTGCCGGTGGTACCAGGATAAAGTTCAACATGGAGAAAGCCATGGGTAGGAGCCTAGGCAGGGCCAAGCGTGCGAAGCCGCATCCGGCATGCCTTTGCAGGGCAGCGTGGGATGTACTTTTCGATTTTTGAGGTTTTACCGTGCCGCCTAATTTCAGGAAGCCTTAGACAGATCGCCGGTGAGTACTCGAGATGTGCACTTTTGCTGCCATTACAATCAAGAGTATGACGTCCCAAGGTATGCAACAGGAATCAGGAAATGCGGAAGCCTCGCATACTATAAAGGGGGCTGCAACTATAAGGGTTCTATGAAACACGCTATCTTGAAGCAACCGCCCGCAGAACGTAGAAGTCCACATCCATACACCCCAGGATCCCGAAGACTAAATCCCAATATTATATTATATTATACTATACTATACTATATTATCTTATATGATATGATATTATATTATATCATATAACTCCGAAACCATAGGCCACCAGGAAAGCCTTCAATGCATGCATGGACCTGAAAGCCTGAGCACCTGACCCCAGGTAACAGAAGCCTTTGGCAACACTGCCTTCATAAGCAAAGCCCCTCCAGTCAATAGTCATGCATGGGATTGGGAAAAAAAGGGGTTAAACAAGACCAAAACACCCTAAACCCTAAAACCTAAACCCTAAACCCCCAAGCCCTTTCTTTCGCAGGCGACAGATGGGATTTCCACAGGCTCCTCGCCGAGCAGTCGCAGCTCCTCCGCTGCAGACTTCCGGCAGCGACGCTTTGCCTTGTTAGGGCCTGGGGAGGGTTTTAATTAGTAGGGAAGTTAGGGTTTGGACTTTAGGGGCTTGAGGTTTTAAATCATCTGGAGTTTTTGGGTTTAGGCAGTTTTATGGTCTAGAGGGTTGAGACTGCCAAGTCTTCGGGTTTATGTGTGGCGTAACATCACTTTGGCCGCTTAGCTTCGGGTTTGGGGGGTCCTGGGATGTCTGTGATGAAAATGTGGGGGAGTTGCAACAAGGATCTTAATGTCTACAGGTCTACATTGCGGTCTCATTGTTCTCTGAAGCTTCCCTAAACCCTAAACCTCAAAGGTTATGCCCTGGGGAGTTTAGGCATTCTTTTCTTTCGGAGCTTGCCGGAGCCCTGCCTGCCGAGGAAGCAGCTGCAGCTTTTCAAGCAGCTTCCTGGCTGCACTCGTTGCCTCGTTATACGGTTCATAAGACTATGCGAGTTAGTATGTGATAGTTTTTCCCTCCCCCCCCCCCCACCCCCCCGATGGTTCGACAAGGCAGCGCCATAAAGCCTATGAGCCCTGAAAAGACTAAAGCTCACCCAAGTCATCCGATGAGGTTCAGCTCCCTGAAGATGCAGATCCAAGAGCAGGTGGTCTTCCTGAATGCGCCCCGCGGTCCTGCATTGGCCCTTCTCTGTCTGAGGGTCGCAGGGTTTGGGCTCGCAGCGTTTTGGGGGGCCGATGGAGAGTTTACAAGGTCCACAAAAGAGCTTCCGGTCGTAGGGTCTCAGGGTGTAAGGGTCTAGGGCCTAAGTCCTTGAAAGAGTTGGGGAGGAGTTGGTGTGAGCAATGCACATCGGCCTACAGCACTTGCTGAGCAAATAAGAGCTCACGCCATCAAATGCTGCAAGAGTGACTGGCAATTGAGCCGCCAGTTCTTGCCTAGTACTGTTTGCAGCCTGGAGGCTATCAACTTTGCAGCCGTTCTGCGAGACGTTTCCCCCGAAACCTTGTACGAATCACGAAGGCCCTGTATTATCTGAGGTTGGCCAAGGACTTCCTCCTGGAGCCCAGTCAGATCTTACAACTGGGCTTCGAGCGCGAGATAGCTGAGGAGGTGCGAGGTGCTTTTGTGTTGCATACTTGCATGTGACAGATTTTGTGTATTCTGAACCCTTTAGCCTACGCCCAATTTCACAGGTTGTGTGGCGGCTTCTACCGTGCAGTGCGGGAGCTAAAGAGCGATATCTCACGATCTTGGCCGCTCCGACTTTCAGCACCGTGGCTTCGAATGTTTTCGAAAAAGGTGTTCAATGCTAGGGATTGGGGCCTTGGAGATACCCTGAGACTCAATCATCGGAATATCAAGTGAGACGCTTCTTGAGATGCAAGCGCTGAGCATACCCCGAAGGTGTATGAATGTGTTAGAAAACGAATGCAAAATCCTGACCGGAAGCCGTGCCCAAGGACTGCTAACCATGATACTAGTTAGGAATGAAGGCCGTATGAATTACTGAGTGGTCCATCATTGATAGCAAGCACCTTTGCTAGCATTATGCAGCATTTCGGAATCTGACCGTGTTTGCCATTTGCGGGACCCTGCTGTCGTTCCACTTTGGTTGTTGACTGCTGGAGTGCGCTGCATCAGGAGCGTACATCTCGGCGCTGCAGCATTCACACAGCCTTCTGAACCTCAACGTGCAGAATCCGAGTGGCCACTACAGCTCCTCGTCCGTGACGTACAGCGGCTCAGAACCTTACAACTCCAAACCATCCCCCGAAACCTCCCGAGACCTTAGCCGGGCCGCTTGTTTGACACCGAGCTTCTGCTCCAGATCAGTCCCCCTCCTGCTGACATGTCGATGCATGCGTAGGGGGTTCCGGGCACAGCCCTTAACTCCCAAGATCAGAAGCCAACCTTCCAAGTGAAGCCAAAGAACAGAAAGGTCTGCGAAACTAAATCTCCCTTGCTGGCTCAGGGTGTGGGGTCAGGCCAGGCTTTCAACTTGATGTTTAGGTGTAGATCCTTTAGGACTCTTCTGCTTTAGAGTTCAGCAAGTACTCGTAGTGAGTATATTGCCACTCCGTTCACCCGCAGCTAAACATGGATCATAAGCCCGATCAGCCCTAAACCGCTCAACCCTGAACCCCTAAACCCCCAAAACCAACCCCCTAAACCTAAACCCTAAACCTAAACCCCACCACCCTGAACCCCTAAACCTTACAAACCCGCTACACCCGAGGGCTGGACCTCGCGAACCCTTCGGACGCCTTCGTTGGGCAGCAGCTGTTGCGCCTCGATCGATGGGAAGGTGTCCTGCGACAGGAACCGCGGGTTTCAGCATGCAGCCCCTTATGGGGTCGCTATAGATAGACAGATAGATAGATAGATCGATAGATAGGTATATATATATATATATCATATATATATATAAATATATACATACATATACATACATATACATACATATACATACATATTTATTTATATATGTATATATATATACATATGTATGTGTGTATGTATGTATGTATGTATGTATGTATGTATGTATGTATGTATGTATATATATATATGTATATACATGCAGAAAAGGTTTTGGGCTTAGGGTTTAGCGTTTATAAACTCTAAACTTTAATTGTCGGGATCCTGCTCTTTATCTACGCCCATATCGCTGTTCGAGCTTCGACAGAAAATGCAAACGAACGTTACTGGATATGTTTCTCTGGAAATAAAGGGGAAGCGGACCAAGACTACCACAGCGGAAAACCAAGTAGCTTCGGAGGAAGAGGATCAGCATCAGCCAGAAACACCGAATTTGCCTACATCCCAGATATCCACTCCCGCAGACAGTACGTTCTCGTCATCCGTGGAACCCACGGCAGGAGCTCCGCCGAAAGGACACCTCCAGGATGTGCCTCAACGGATTGTAAGATTTTGGGTTGGAGTCCGGGTTTCAAGACTTCCCCGGGCCATCGGATTTGTCAAGATGTGGTTGATCTTTATGGCTCTGCAGGAGCATATTTATGGCAGATGCCTAGCAGTGTCAGAGTCAAACTTGATCCATGGACAGGGCGTTGGGAGCTTGCTTGCTTCATGTGGACTTATTTTCAAAGACTTCCGATGTCCGACTAAACTTCCAAGCCCTAAACCCTCGGGTGGTGAACTGACAGGTTCCGGTTTGCCGGCAATGAGCTTTGTTGGTTGGATGGCAGATAATGCCGGAAAACGAATCGAAATTCAAATTAGGGATCCAACTTCTGAGAGTCGAAGTCTGCAAAGCTGCAGGTCCTCTTGGATTCTTTCGATCTGCAGCTTTGTTTGGCCTAGAGTAGGACGCACAGACCCACGCGTGCAGGCTTTAAGTGTTTGATGATAGGATTGAAGCTGATGGTGCCTGCTGGAGTGCAGGTTGCTCAACCCAAGGCACCTAGAGGGATCATGTTCTGTAGGTTCAGCGTGAGCATCCCTCATCACCAAGCCCTTTATAATCCCTGACCCTTGATACACTTATGCACCAAACCCCGAATTCCAAAACCCCTAAACCCCAAATCCCAAACCCTGAACCGTCAACACTAGACCCATCAGCTTCCTCCTTTGGAGGTTCGGCTCCTGCATCTTCAGTGCTCTCTACCTTGAGAAGCCGATCGACTCAGGCGGAGCGGGGTGACGCTAGTAAACCGTGTTCGATGTACCGACTTCAAAGGGGGATTGAAGGAGCTCTCATGGGGCTTTGTTTTTTTTGAAGCTGCTTTGGGAAGCTTTGTATGGAACCCCCAAAATCGCTACGGGGTCTAAAACCTAAACCCCTAAAGCCTAAACCCCTAAACCCTAAACCCAAGCCCCTAAACCCTAAAACCTCAAACCCTAAAACCCTAAGGCCCGATGAACGATTGGCCTTGGCCCGAGCATGGACTTCTGGCGCTCGACTATGCCAGTGGCAAGCGGCCAACCGCGGAGGAGCGTTTTTGTCTTTACTGGTCTTAGGCATTTGTAGGGATCATGGTGTTGGGGTGTAGTTAGATCCAAGGCCCTGAAGCCCTGCACTCCAAAATGCAAGATCTCAACCTTAATACTCGAAGCCTTACAGTGCATCATAAACGAATTGGCATTTTGAGATACCTTTTAAACTCTTTCGGTCGTATACAGGGCACCTATTCATGAACATCTGATGGGGCCTCTTTCAAATCCTGTTAGAGCCTCGTAAGCAAGAAGCCCTCATTCCCTAAACCCTAAACCTTGAATCCCACCCTCAATCCCTAAACCCTATACTCCTGAACCCTAAACCCAGTGAGCCTCCAGTCCCTTCAACCCTTACGGCCCGTAATCCCCTTCGGAGACTCTGTCAGGGTGTCTTAACCTGAGAAGCCCGTTTCAAAATTCAATTTCACAAGAAAGATCAGTAACAAAACTTGAAACAAGATTTTTAAAAAAAACATCAACTAGAAATCACTAATAAAATACTCTTCTTTAGGACTCGGCCGTGGCGACGCCAAGCTTCAGAAACCTCTGCCAGGCAGGTGTGGGTTTGTGGTTTTGGGCGTTTGGACTTTAGGCTCTTGGGGTATAGAGTATAGAGGGCGTTTAACCTTTAGGAACTGTCTTCGGCATTAGATTTGGAGCATAACGTTAATTTTTGTTGTGTTCATGGACCACCACAAGGCCCGGTCTATACGTTAGGCTTACGAGTAAGAATAGAAAGTTCAAGTGCTTAGACACATGGGATTGGGGGGTGTCAACTACTTCAGAAAATACTGCTTAGGCGGTTTAGGGTGCAGGACGTCAAGTCCCGCAGGCATAGATCAGTGTCAATAAAAACGTAGCCGCAGGGGTCGAGTCCAAATCACATACAGACCGAAAGTCTCGTCCACAACTGCATCTTAGCCGCATCACTCTCATGGACAGTCCTCACAGAACCTTATGTCTGTTGCTTCTTGTCTGGGTGGCAGCCTTGGTGGGGTTTGTTGGGCCTGGGGTCAGGGTGTACGACGACGAGGACGAGGACGACGACGACAACGGTGAAGAAGTTGATGGTTTGGATGAATGTAGGGCGGCGAGGGCTGTGGGAGTGTGGGGTTCCGAGCTTTACGAGATTCAGTTTCAGAACCTGGGGCGTAACAGTTTCGGTTGCACCTGTAGGCTTCTCGGGACTTCGGAAAACAGGCTTTGTACCTCAAGCCTACACTAGCTATTCGTTTGACTTTGCTCCAAGACCCCCAAACCCGCAAATCTTTGAAATCTAAGCCATGACCCAAAGCTGCCAAATCCAACACCTTAAGCTGCCTCGACAAACTCAAGACTATAAGGCAAGAAATAGCTTCGCAAGCCCAGGCACTCCATCTCTGCAGCCTGACCGAGGAGCAGAAAGTCGCGGCTCTTGTTCCGGCGTCTCTTCTGGAGTGTGTTAGCATTGATCAAGGCTTAAAGGGACACTTGGGGTTATGTAGGGGCTTTATGAGACCATATCAGGGGTATATAAGGGTTATATAGGGTATTAGGATTAGGGGTCCCTTCTAGGGGTCCCTCCTATTGTCCCTTCAATTGAGAGCTTTGGAAGCTTCAGAGTTCAGGGTTTGAGGCTTCAGGGATGTAGGGATTCGGGAGTTGGCGCTTCGGGTTTAGATTTCGCTGTCGGATCTAGTTCCGGCCAATTTTCCGGTTTAGTATAGGAAAGGGCGTGGTTGACGATTTGGGGGGCTGTGGGGGTTTGGGGTTATCTAGGGTTTCGGCCAGGGAAGTCCAAGTGCCTTTCCTGTTTCGGGATGTTTGGCGGGCAGATCCTGCATCCCAGGAAGAGACTGCTGGAGCCAAGGCATAGGCATAGTCATACTTACGTACAATCATGGACAATGCAGAGTTTGTCCATCAGCGGTATTAGGTCGGCCAGCCGGTCGGTTTGGGGCTTTTGGGGTTGAGGGTTTAGGGCTTCGGGTCTTGGGGTTTCCAGCTTGAGGGCGTTTAGGTTTAGGTTCGCTGGTTGCCATTCCTGCTCCTGTTGTGTTTAGTCTCGTTTGCTTTCCCTTCATGACTCGCTCCTTCTCCCTGCTGTCCTGTTCATCATAGTACTTGTTCCCTGTTCTCTAAGTGTAAACCTCACCATACTGGAGGATTTTGCTTGTGTCTCAAGCGGTGAACGTCTGATATTTCGCCCCGTACTCCCAATCCAAGTCATCGGTCTTGGGAAGTTACAGTAGTAAGTCACGTGAGAGCACAGTGCACTGAAGGAGCGACGACAAGCACAGGCCATGTCCAACACAAAAGCGTGCTGTTAGCAGCAGCAGTAGCGCGACTAAGTAGGGGTTTGTATCAGCGACATGCAGCGAAGGCCCCCCGAGCAGAGCTCCATAAGAAGCCTCATGCCTGAATCTTCAGTTCACCCGCCCGCAAGCCGTGCGCCCCAAACCCGTAGGCCTTAAGCCGTGCCTTGAGCAATAAAGCCCTCTTCAAAGTATCAGGTCACTTGGGAAGTAGGTTTAGTTGTTTAACAGTTTAACCCAGAGACGGTTTGCAACTGATTCAGTTTGATCCCTAAACCCGAAGACCCTAAAGCCCCAAAGTAGGGCAGTAGGGCAGATCCCACAACCCCCGTTTCCTTGCAAGGCCCAAACCCTAAAACCGACAGGGCCTCGACGTGCAAAAAAGCGATCAAACCCCCATCAAAACTCCCGAGAGACTCAAGACTCGACCCCCAGCAGAACCCGAAAAATCCCTAAAACCCTCTAGACGAGAGGTCGCTCATGAGCTCTTCCTCAGCAGCCTGCAGCTTCGTACGTTGCTCCTGCTTCTGGAGACGCCAAATGCACGGCTGCAGCTCTTCGAGCTGCTCTACCTCAGGCACAGCAGCTCGAGGGTGTTTTTGCGGGCTGGGCTTCTATATTATAAAGCATACTCTGTAGGTTATATATGGGATCTATTTTCAGGGCTGAGGGAATTCGTTTCAGCTTCCGGTTTCGGGATTGGGGTTTCAGGTTTAGCCTTGAGGGTGGCGAGTTTCGAATGTTCGGCTCAGTTCCCGGTGGTATTGGCGTCTAAGATAATCCGCAGTCGGTAATAGGATAGTGTACAATGGAGGGTCTGATATCTGTCGTCATATTATCCCCTAAACCGTTTACATATGAGTATTGTGGCATGTATTCTATCATGTACTAAACCCTGAAACCCATTCCGTCTTCCTCACCGGAGGATCGTCGACATCCAGAACGAAACTCTGGCACGCGATGTTCTCGACGAGAGCTGCAACTTCTGCAAGCTGGAGAGGCGTGTGTTGTTTGGGGGATGGCTTAGGGTTTAGGTTAAGGGTTTAAGGGTTTAGGGTTTAGGTTTAGGGTTTAGGGTTTGTGGTTTGGGGTCGTGGGTGTTGGGTTTTTGAGTGGTGTTTGAGCTTAACACCCAGGGCCCACAGTTAAAACGCCCGAGATCTGAGTCGTATTTTCAACGCCCTACAGAGCTCGCAGCCAACTTATATAAATTGAACAGTCTCATTAGGGTTTGGGGTTTGTCGACTTCAACCACAGGGCTCTAAAGCACTGTGATGATCATTATGAATGTTGTGACCATTTTGGTTATGAGTATTGTTATTATCGTTATTATCCTTAGTATTTTCCAAGCTGAAGATGTCAACCAGCGAAGCCCGGGCAGGTTCAACCAATGCATGATGCTCCTGGGCTCGAACCGGACAGGCTTTTTCTTGTGCGCGACGATGAATGCAAATCCTGACACTCGTACCGACTCGGGCCGTTAGCTCCTTCGTGGAAGGCGTACGTGCAGTTGCTTGGTTTGCTGCCCCTCCCACGGCATGGCATCTCGTTTATGCTTCCATGAATCTATCTGCTACCCTAAACCCTAAAACCTAAACTCAAAGCTACCCTAAACCAAAAAAAACCCTAAAACCTAAACTCAAAGCTACCCTAAACCCTAAACCCCAAACCCTAAACCTAAACTCAAAGCTCTCTACCTTGCACCGAAGCAAACAACGGACTCCCTGAAGGCCTAGGTCCCAGCCTCATGGAGTCGGCTTACAAGTTGAGTCAGTAACCATAGGCCCCTAAGTAGTTCCTTTTTGGGATTACCTTATAGGATTCTAAATATAAACCATAAAAAGGAACTACCTTATAGGATTCTAAATATAAACCATAAAAAGGAACTACTTAGAGACCTATGGGTAACCTGTAACGGCTTTGGTTTTCGGGGTAGCCTCTCCTGTGTAAACTGGACGAACAAGTTGCAATAGGGGCGAGGGCTTTAGGCTAGTAAGAGGGCCTAGCACTGGTTCCTCGATCATCCCTGTATAGTTGAGCTATATGCGAGCATTCCGAAATACCACTGGTCACTTCGGAAATGAGAACCAGAACGCCCCGGCCCTTTACCTCTTGCTCATCCCGTCCTTCCCTCTTCCATCCTCTTCCCCTCCTTCTCCACCTCTGCTACCCACCGGAGACGTCTGAAAGGTTTCCGTTCGTCCAGCCCGAAAGCTTTGCCTTCGAGTTCAACTTGAAGCACTTGGACCATCGGCTCGCCTCTCTGGCGGTGCCCGGGCTCATCATTACGACGGCTAGCAGGATCGTTGATGTTTTACCTCACTAGGATGGTCTTTGCCGGCTGGTGCAGTGAGACTGACGGTGCTGCCGCCCGAATCTCTGACAGCGCGCTCACCGCGATGTATCCCGTGCCGATGATGATGCTGAAGATGATTCAATGATGACCAGGGTGGTGGCGTTAAAGAAGTTGGTTGTGAGTAGAATAGAACGAGCATGAGGATGATGACGATGATGAGGAAAGAGTTCATCATCCTCATTATCACCGTCATCATCATCATCACCATCAAGATATTGAACATAAAGTGGTCATAATCACGACCACGGGGAAACAGATAGTGATGATGATGATGGTGGTGAATGATGATGATCACGATTTCAATGAGGGTGATGCTGATGCTTGTGCGCAGGAAAAGTGAACACACTAGCAGTGTGGCATGATGATGATGGTGATGGTGAGTGGTGTAGCGTAAACCGGCCACAGTGAGATATGGCCCGGAAAAGGTCTTCAAGCTTTGCGAAGTCGAGGGCTGGGTCAACTTGCCGGACTGTTGCAGTGGGATGGACTGTCGGGTTTTAGGGTACAGGGCTTTGAGGCCTTGGCTGTAGGGCTCTATGGCATCGGGGTTCACGATTTGCAGCGTTTCGGACTATCGGGCTTATGTTTCAAGGATTCAAGGCTAATAGCATTGCGGGTGTGGTGTTCTGGTTTTGATGCATAAGAGTGTCCTATCCTATCGTGCAACGGGGATGGAGGATTTGAATCGCACGCTTGTCTCAGTACCTCTTATTAGTAGGGGTACTACGCTCAGTATCATGAAGCAGTACTACGCTCAGTATCATGAAGCAGGAACACTATGGTTAGTCGGGGGGTTGGAGTCCTACCAGGATTGAAGAATCAGAGGAGTCAGGAAGTTGGTCTATGTCTGGGGCTCGAAGATGTTGCATTGCATGTAAAGTACTCCGGAAAGGGCGCCTTGGTCACTGCAAGTGTAGCTTTGACAAAGGCTCCTGCATTCATTCTTCAACCTTGGCAGGGAGCCCTTACTTGCCGAAGCTCTTACGGAGACACTTACCTACTTATGCGATACCCATGCAACCCTTACAACAACCGAATCCCTGATAGGGACCGCTTCATCCGAAGAGCAGGAGCCGACGTTCGTCGCGGACGAGGCGGATGAGGACGGCACGGATGAAGCCTTGTTCTGGAGGAGCTCCAAGGAGGCTCCATGTTGGGTTACTTTATAGGGTTTAGGGTTTAGGGGTTTAGGGTTTAGGGTACTTCCCCTACACTGTAACAGTCTAGTAACTGCCTATATCAACATCAGGGGTCATATTCAGGGCTGTATATAATTATATTATGAGTAATTTCCAACTGTTACAGAGTGGCAGCCTATAATTCTGTCCTTATGGCGTTTTGGGACTTATGACAGCTTTGCAGAACTTTCAGGCTCGAGTGACTCTAGTAGACCTCCCTGGGACATCGTCAGCATGGCGGACTTCAAGTTGCAGGTGGATGAATCAAACAAGGCCACGGAGTTGACCCTGCTCCGCATTTGCGGCACTGTTCAGCAGAATCCACATATGCGAGCGTTCTGGGGA